ACCCTAAACCTAACCCTTACCCTCCTCACTGCAAACTCAGGCTGAAGCTTTTCAGTCTCATCAGGGAGAAATGTTACGGCTGATGTTTAGAACTAAATTTGTAGCTCATCATTTTTCCATATCAGGGTTTCACTTTAAAACCCTGAATGCAAATGTAACCATTGGGGCCTTTTTCTGTAGACCATGTAAACCAGAGCGTACCAACATGGACCTCAAAGGTCCGTTTTCTTCCTGTAGACCATGGAAACCATGGAGTTCAATCTAACTCCAGTTCCCTCCTCGCCATCGTGTCCAAAACCAGCAGGTTCAGAGTTTCCAGCTTTTCTTGGTAGATCCGAAACTTTGGGTGGAAAGTGGCATACACAAGTTTTTGGCTCCGTTTTGTATGTACACAGCTTTCAGAGATGAGAGCCCTGTTCTGTTTATATGGATTTGCTCTAAATCTAAAAAGTGGCGTTTTTTTTTTTTAAATGAGACGGTTGTGTCTGTTTGTGTGCGTCTCATTTTTACAGACATTTTAATGTCAATGTAAGAGCAGTGCTGTGAGCCAGCACATAAGAATCTGTCACATAAATAAAGCCGGAGCTGGAAACGGTCAGTCAGGAGCGGAGTCAGGGACCAGCTTGATCTTCTGGCCCCTGACGATGACTTACCAGTAGGAAGGACACCTACTGATGAACCACCAACCCCACCACGCACTCACAACCCTTCTGTGGGTGTCACATCACTTCTGCCGCTTCCAAACAAGATGGCTTTTAAACACGATTTCTTCCTCTGTCAAACTGAGTTTCTATGCTCTTCTGTCCGTAGTTGCTGTTGGTAACCACAAACTAACATTGATCAGATGGCTCATTTAAATACACTTGTGGGTAAAGCAGTGGGCCCTGATAAAGTGTGTGGAGGTGCGTTATATTTAACCCCTCATTTAGCCTCAAACAGCCTCAAACATCTGGATTAGGAGGAGAATCTGGATCTGGAGGGGCATCTGGATTAGGACGGGCATCTGGATTAGGACGGGGATCTGGATTAGGAGGGGAATCCGGATTAGGAGTGGTATCTGTATCAGGAGGGGCATCTGGATTAGGAGGAGCATCTTGATCAGGAGCAGTGTCTGGATTAGACGGGCATCTGGATTAGGAGGGGAATCTGTATTAGGAGGGGCATCTGGATTAGGAGGAGCATCTGGATTAGGAGGAGCATCTGGATTAGGAAGAGCATCTGGATTATGAGGAGCATATGGATTAGGAGGAGCATCTGGATTAGGAGGAGCATCTGGATTAGGAATAGCATCTGGATTAGGAGGAGTATATCGATTAGGAAGAGCATCTGGATTAGGAGGGGCATCTGGATTAGGAGCATCATCTGGATTAGGAGGGGCATCTGGATCAGGAGGAACATCTGGATTAGGAGGGGCATCTGGATCAGGGCAGATGGGTGTCCTGTACTGGAACCTGGCCTGGAGAAGGCGGTCCTGGTTTTACTCTATAAAGTTTGTGTTGCTGGTTTACGTCCGCTGGTGGTCAAAACTGCCCAACTAACCTGAATAGTGCAGATCAATTCCAGATGAACAAAGCATAATAAATTGAATGTTAAACGTGGTAAAAATGTGAAAAAAGGGGGCCTTCTATGCATAAAATGAGCTTCAACTTACACCACAACTGCCCATGAGGCCACCAGGAGAATGGAGCCTGTGTTTAGGAAGGACTTTTAATGCCGGAACGTTCTTCAGAATGTGTACATTGTCATTTATAGTTTTTCTTAATCAGTTTGTTTGGGTCGGTGTCACATGTGGGCTCTTTACTTGCTGTTTATTTTCCATTTCTGTGTTCAGCAGATGCTCATGAAGTCGGTCAGGCGTTTCTCTGGAATCCAGAGAACAGGACCAGCAGAGTCCTGGTTTAGGGGGACAGGCTGGCAGAGAACAGGACCAGCAGGGTCCTGGTTTAGCTCCACACAGACTGTGTATGCGTCCTTTTGTTTACTGTGTTTCAGTTAATTTTATTATTTCTGGGCAGAGTTCCTCGTCTTGCCTTTTTTTTGTTTTCTGGGATTCTGTTTTCATGTCTCTGTTGTCAGTATTTGGGAGGTCTAGGTCTTAATTTGGACTTTCTGTTGTTATCAGTCTGTTGTTCCTAGCCTCTCTTTTAGGATTTGCCTCCTCTTTTTCCTTTGATTTGCTGTCACATTGGCCTTGTCTTACCTCAATCCTGTTCTAATTACAGTTCATTTTTCAGTATATTTTGGTTTCTGTCCTCAACGGTATCTGCCCTGGCTTACTACTGAGGAGTCCATAGCTCCTCACTCAGTTGGGCTCCATCGCTTGTGGGAAGGAGACTAATCTTTTTGAGCTGGATAGCAGACAAAGGTCCTTCCCAGTGTTTCTTCAGCTGACCCCTGACAACCGACAGCAGGATCTTATGACTCATAAGTGTCTCATTGTGAGCAGTGAGCTGTATTGTGATACGCAGACCACTCTAACAACCAGCAAAGGGATTCAGGGGAAGCTGCTGTTCAGGAGCCACGGTCAACCTCTGAAGAATCCTTCCAGCGTGGCTCGTTGAACACATTTCTGTTGTTCTTTATGTTTTCTATAGGAACTGGTGTGCTTTTGTGGTCACAAAGACTGTGAGCTGTGTGGTGGAAGATGGCGTGGAGGCTTACGTGAAGCCGGATTACCACCCCTGCAGCTGGGGGTCGGGCCAGTGCGGCCGGCTGGTGGTGTGAGTATCCCTCTCTGGGGTCGCCTTCACGTCGGCCTCACAGCGCACTCATTCTGGTCTCCCCGCAGCTACCGGACCTACATGAGGCCACGCTACAAGGTGGCCTACAAAATGGTGACCGAGATGGAGTGGAGGTGTTGTCACGGTTACAGTGGAGAGGACTGCAACCGTGGTCCAACTGGGGAGGGAGGAACCCAGATCTCTGTCAGCAATCCTCAGTCTGGACAGGCAGGACACACGAGGTTTGGACAAGGGGGAGGCAGGACTGGATCTGGACACACAGGAGCCCCCAATGGTGAGTGGACCCTCATTTGTTCATTTAAACCACCAGAAATCCTAACCATTCATCAGGAAGGGTTAGGATTTAGAAAAAATCTTCAGCTACGGTTTTTATATTTTCGTCATTCCCAACTTACCATGGGAAGTTCCTATTGATTTGCTTCCTTTTGTTCCAGAAGTAGAGGATACTGATAAAATACGGCGGCTGGAGGCAAAGATCGAGAGCCTGACGAAGAGCCTGCAGGATCTTCAGTCTACCATGAACACACACTTCCAACAGGGCCACAAACCAGGAGTGGGTGTCGGAGGAGGGTCGGTAGGAGGAAGAAACCCTGCAGATGCAGCTCAGCCCGAAATTACCGAGACAATTCATAGTATTCAAACCAAACTGGATCAGCTGGATAACCGCACTCAGGTGAGTCAGGAGCATGGTGTGACCCCAAACCACTGTCAGCTAAGATGGGAAAACATCCAACTGTCTGTGATTACACCGTGTTTTCCGCACTATAAGGCTCACCGTCAATGAATGGTCTATTTTTTTAAAAAAATGTTCATATATAAGGCGCACCGCATTATAAGCCGCATAGAGTAGAAGCTCCAGTAGTGGGTGGGGTTGCGTTCTTCATCCACTAGATGAAGCTACGCTAAAGAGAATACAGACAAAACAGTCAGATAAGTCACTCAAACTTTATTAATAGAATACAAACCAGCGTTCTGACAATTCCATTCACTCCCAAAATTAATAAAAAGCTCTTCTGTTATTATTTTTCCCGAGATAATGTCAGTGACGTGGTGTTTTCGCGACAGTTTATCTTTTAACAACAACAATGTATAATAGGTGTTGCAACATTTTTATCGGGTAGTGGAGGGGAACTTTTCCTCGACTCAGTATACACGTGAAAGAAACTGATACCGTTACGGTAAATCAAACGTCAGTGCAGTCACAATACATAGCGGTGAGCATTAAGCTGACGAGCTTTTCTTGCAAAAAGATAAATAGAATTAGTTGAACTACCTGTTGTTGTAGTTAGGGTTAGGGTTAGGGTCAACGTTTGCCTTTAATGTCCACATTTTTTTAACAGCCGCATTCTCTTACAGCGTCGACTTTAAAAATGGGTACTAATAGATATGTACATTGTGCAGTACTGCAGAATCCCCAGAAGGTGGCACCTCTTCGCCGTGCATACACCGCATGCGCCACTGCTTCTCCCTAACCCTAACCTTAACCCTGTGGTCATCTATCCCTAACCCTAACCTATCCCTAACCCTCACCCTTATGTCATCGATCCCTAACCCTAACCCTCACCCTTATGTCATCGATCCCTATCCCTAACCCTAACCTATCCCTAACCCTAACCTAATCCCTAATCCTTAGATGATCTATCCCTAACTCTAACCTAACCCTAACCTATCCCTAACCCTAATCCTTAGGTCATCTATCTCTAACCCTAACCTATCCCTAACCCTAACCCTTAGGTGATCTATCTCTAACCCTTTGTAATCAGCTCCTTAGGTCATCTAACAATAACCCTAACCCTATCTATTCTTCTTCCACACATCAATCGCAGTACCTCAGGGTTCCTGGGATATCAGACACAGTTTGCTCATCTTTGACAATGGACCTTATACCCATGTGACACGTCGGATATATTTTGTGCTGGTCGTTAAACCATTGTTTGACCTCATAAGAAACTAACAAATTGGAGGCTTAATCTGGACCGGGTTAGGAAGCAAAACGTTCATGCATTTATGCATTAAAGTTAGTGTTTGTAACTGAGATGTTTTCTGCCATACTGTATGGTTATCCCCTCCAACAGGCCCATGATAAAACCCTGGTCAGCATCAACAACCACCTGGTGAATGGTAAGGGCAATGAGCTGGATGGACGTCCGTCTGGAGGAGATGTAAATGGAGGGAGGCTGAACTCGCTGAAGGAGGAGATCCTGAGAGAGTTAGAGAGGAGAGTGTCACTTTCCTGCTCCTCCTGTCAGGTACCAGGATATTACGCCACATCCTTTATCAGCCTGATGATCCTAATAACAAAAACACACAGAGGTGACAGAACGCCAACAGTGCTAATCCATATTTACGTTGATGGTATGTAAAACAAAACCTGTAACATTTGGGTTTCTCAGTCAGTGAGCAGAAGTTGGACGGTGTACCTTAGAGGTCAGATTGGCTCCAGAATCTGTGATAGCCTAGACTAATTAGAACTACAAACAGAGTTTAGATATGGCACATATAAGACATTTTCTGACCTTGATTTGTTCAATAGACCCAAAGAACTGATCATATGGAAATGTTCTGCTACAGTCTTTTTTGGAAAAAATGTAAGTCTGAGCTGTCTGTTTTCAGGCTGGAGTGGAAGATCTCCGCCGACAGCAGCGAGAGGACCGGGAGAAGATTCAAGCTTTAGAGAAACAGCTGAATGCCCTGGAGACCGGCCGTGTCCTTAAAGAGCTACACCAGCTGCGTCAGAAAGTGCTGCTCTCACAAGGCTGTTGTGACGCCGTGAATGACCTCCGAAACCGCGTCAGCGATACCGAACGCAAGATCAGCTCCGCCTCGGAGGACTTTGACCTGTTAATCAGTCGCCTCGGCCAGGACCTCAGTTCAGCCGGCGACGGGGAGTCCAGAGGAGGGTCCAGAGGGGGGGCCAGAGGGGGGTCCAGGGGGGGGGCCACGGGGGGATCCACAGGGGGGGGGTGGGGAGCTGGCAGTGGAGGGGAGGGACTGGTGACACAGGACAGGCTGAACGATATGCTGGACCGCTTGGAGCAAAGGGTCAACAGCAGTGTGCAGCGAGCTGAGCAGGGCTGCTCCTACCTGGAGAAGAACCTGAAGGACTACTGGAACAGCTCCCTCAGGAAGTGGACTGCGGAGGAGTGTGGCTGTGGCCGGGCTGGAGTGGGAGGGACTGACTCCAAAGACGGAAAGGGACGATTTGGACCAGATGCAGGCAGTGGACTTCCAAGTGGAGCTGGTGGGGGAGCAGGAGGTGGAGGAACCACTGGGGGCAGAGGTGGGGGGGGAGCAGGAGGTAGAGGAACCACTGGGGGTACAGGTGGGGGGTTCTCTGGGACTAGTGGACCAAGAGAAAATACAACTGAAAAATCTCTTGAGTGGAGAATAGTGGCCAACGAAGATCAGATTCAGCATTTCACCACTCGTCTGAAAGACCTGTCAGTGTCTGGAGAATCTCTGTACGACAGGGTGAGCACGGCTAACCCTAAAACACCTTTTACCTGTTCATTTCAGCTCAGACAAATATTTAGTGTGTGTCCAAACAAGTATTTTGGTTCTAAAATGACTGAAATGACAATAATTTGATTGTTAATTTGCATCCAATCTCCAGGTTTTAGACCTGAGTCACGATGTGCGTAGGATCAAGTCTCTGACTGGAGACCACGGAGAACACTTCAACAGAATCGTCTCAGTGGTGGAGCTGCTGGGCAGAGATTGCGAGGCCTGCGGGAGAGTGGAGGACGAGCTCCAGAAACTGAAGAACAGCTCCTACGACGCACTGCTGAAAATGCAGAGGCAGATCAACAGCATCCAGACTAAAATGGACTCGGAGGGAAACGGCTGCTCTCACGTTTGCTCCCTCCTGCGAGATGAAGTTAGCGTGCTGCGCAAAGATGTTGGGAGATGCATCGGCCAGTGTAAGTCCGGCCCTGACACAGTCCCAGGTGAGTCACAGGTCTTACTGTCCCCCTCCTCCTCAGGTTAGTTGGCTTTAGGGTAAGGTTAAAACCTTATCAGTCAAACTGAATATGACCGACTTTATACCAAAACACAAGACATGAAACATCCAACTCTATTATTTTTCTGAAATATCTTTGGTTACATTAGCCAAATTAGCATTACTATCAGTAATAGATCAGTTAGTTTGAACAGTTTAGCATTTATTTTATAATCGTTAATACCTTGCTAGGTGTTTTCATAACCAATATGTTTTGCAATGTTCCGGCAGATGCTTTTATCAAAAGCAAAAAACAATGTGGATCCAACTTAGAGTGAACATAGACGATAACGCTAAGCTCCATAGAAGGAAACCAGTAGTCATACGACTGTACAGAAAGAGGCAAGCACAGAGACACTAGTGGGGGGGGAGTGTTAGGGGAAGAGATGTTCTCTAAAGATCTGTTCTTTAGAGAACGAGACATGAAAAGAGTCTGGATGGTCTTCAGTGGTATGGCCTCTGATAGGAGACGGTCCATGCATGGCCCAGCTGTGCACATGCCTTTTTTTCCATTGTCTCCCATTTGCATTAATTAATTAATACGATTTCTCCCTAAATCAAACTTTCTGAGTAACTCAACCAATTGAATTTTTTCAGCAACTATGACATGAAAATCTAAATGCCACAAACAACCTAATTTTTTCTGCTTTTAACTGAAAGTTGTTTCATGAAGCATAACAGCTAAATCACAAACTAAAGATCTTTCTTAGCAACCTGAATGTCCCTTTAGCCCTTTTCTTACTTTAGGTCTTAGTTTGACACTGTTCAAAGGAATGTCTTAACATTTAGATAAAGAGAGAAATGTTTGAAAAACCCTGAATTTGTATTCAAAGCAGTATTTGTCTTAACCCTACAGGCAGTGGTGGCTCTGGGGGTCCCCTAGGACATGGCCCCACGCTGGATGCTGCGAAGCCTTTAGATGGCCACAGTGTGATTGGAGGCTCCGTCAACAACAATCAGCTGAAGACACTTCAAAGGGAAATGTCTGTGGTAATCTTCACCTTCAGCTCCATCAACGACACCCTGAAGGGTCTTGAACACACCGTGAACAAACATGGGAGTGTGTTGACTGACCTGGGTGAGTCATCTTTGTACACTATCCAGGTTCATTCAAACGGTATCTTCTTCAGATAGTTTTCATGTTACTGCATTTAGATGCTTTAGTCCAAAGCATGGCAGGAAGTCAGTAGTCAGACTCTGTTAGAGGCCACGGTGGTGACAGGGCAGAGGTAGAGGGAGGTACTCTGAAGATCTGGGTCTTCAAGAGTTTCTCTAAGATGGACAGCAACGTTCCTGTTGCTGTAGTTCTTGGTTTGTAGTTTCACCACCGTGGAACGAGACATGAAAAGAGTCTGGATGGTCTTCAGACTCAGCTAGGAGACAGTCCATTGATGGCCAGAGTAAGCGAGTTATGGCGTAAGCCAGAGTGTTCAGGTAGACAGGAGCCGCAGCCTTAATGTTCACTTTACACCTGCTAACCCTCACAGGAAACACAAAAGATAAGATCATCTCTGAGCTGGACAAGATCCAACAGGAAGTGACGGAACACATGGAGGAGAGCCGGGATCGTGGGGATAAAATGGCTGAGGACATCCGTCAGCTGGAAAGCATGCTGCTGGTGGAGATGGGAGACTGTAAGAAGTCCGGAGACGGTCTGGAGAAAAGGCTGTCAAAGCTGGAGGGAGTCTGTGGAAAACTAGATGGTGTTTCTGACTCCATTCACAAAATCAAGGAAGGTGTGGTTCAGTTTGATACTCCTTTCTGATGATGTTTCACTTGAAAGTCATACTATAGAGCAGTATATCAAATTTGTCCGCTCATTAATTAAGAAAAAATGAATGCATTTATCGATGATAGAAAATACAACTTCTCTCTTATTAATGACCTCAGTTAACTAATCATATCTTAGTGTAAGTGTTCCTGTTAGATACGGTTGTAAAGGAGGGTGCACATTAAGGAAATCCTTCACGTGTCTTCTCGGGAGACGTCCCATGTGATACCTCTTGTTTCTTAGCATGTCTTTCTCTCTGTGTTCAGGGCTGAATCAACATGTGACAAGTCTGTGGTCATGTTTTTCTGGTATGAATGAGTCTGTAATCCATCATCAAGACACCTTGGAAATTCTTCAGAAGAACCAGGAGAACATTCAGAGCAGGATGAAGAACCTGAACTCGAGCCTGAGCCAGGTGATCCGAGACACGAAGACTGGTGAGCTGCTAACTCCTCCCTTCTCATTCGTTGATTTGTTTTGGTCATTTGATGAGTTTGATCATTCAAACCAATGGTAAACTTCGTTTGGGGTTAGATTCATATGTGGTCAGCCGGTCAGCAGAGGAAAAAGGCTCTGACTGTAATCTCAGATGGTCTTTCTGTGTGGATTTGCATCATGTTCTGCTTGTGTATACGTGGACCATTTGAAACTTTGATTGTAGCATAGCTTTTCTTTGCTATTGTTTCAATAGGTTTGTAAATTGTCATAATATTCTTTTCCACCTTGAATTCCATTTATTTTTAACCAAGAACAAATTTTCAAGATAGCATAGTGAAAATGCTTCAGATAGTTATTTCCATCCAAAGGATTTGATATATATATATATATTTAATATATATAGCAAATCACAAGGAATGTCAACTCAAGCTTCTCAAAGAATAGTGCATCCAAACACAACTGGAAAACAACAAACCACAGTGAATTAAGTAAAATCTGGTCCATTTTATACGTCAGATGATTGACAGATGAAGAACATACCCTCCCTTTGATCCAATCCCCCATCCTAAGCATGCACAGGATCACTGTGGAAAGAAAAATGGCCTTCATTAATACCTGGAACCTGAAGAAACCTCCATCAGAACCATGAAGGGTGGCCATCTTTCTGAACTGGCTGGGGGTTGAGACAGCAGCAAAGAGGGGACAAGCACCGACCCCAGGCCAGAGATACCTGCTGAAAAAGAGAAATCATAGTTAACGACAATTAGGAAACGAGGAAGGTCATAAGAGATGCGTGGAGCAGTTCCTTTGTCTCTGAGACGGAATGTTCTTAATATTTAAAAGGAAATCCCTTCACCTTATCTAGCAGCCAGCAGTGCTTTATGTCAGGGCTCTGAACAAATACAGGGGATAAAGCTCTTCACAATACATTATAGATGGACTTTTACAACTTTGATTTGTTTTGACTATTCTGTGAATTGAAGTAAAATTATGTAAACGGGAAAATTTGTCTTTAGATTGTAATTTTGCCAACATCACTTAGGCTTTCCAGGCCTTCCGGGCCCCCCAGGGCCTCCAGGGGAGAGAGGTTTCAATGGAATACCAGGGCCTCGGGGCCCCCCCGGACCTCCAGGACGACAAGGGGAAAGTGGTCCGCGAGGTGTGCCTGGTAAGAAAAACATCTCATATTACAGCATTTCACCTGTGGACAAACAGAAACACAAGATAAGAAAGTAAAATAACCCAAATCCTGAAATGAATTGGATCTGTGCAGCGAGACGCACTGCGTCTGTCCAACAATACAATTTTCTATCATTTGCATGGTGAGCTTACTAAAAGATGTTCTACTGGATCTAATCAAACTCTAACCCCAACCATAAAATGAAGAGGTATTTTTTAATTTGATATCGTTTTAAGAAGAGTCCAAAGAATAATGTTACATTAGTGGGTTAGGATAATGGATGAGTGGATGGATGAATGGATGGATGGATGGATGGATGGATGGATGGATGGATGGATGGATGGATGGATGGATGGATGGATGGATGGATGGATGGGTGGGTAGATGGATGGATGGGTGAATGGATGGATGGATGGATGGATGGATGGATGGATGGATGGATGGATGGATGGATGGATGGGTGAGTGGATGGATTGATAAATGGATGGATGGATGGATAGATGGATTGATGAATTGATGGATGGATGGATGAATAGATGGATGGATGGATGCATGGATGGATGGATGGATTGATCAATGGATGGATGGATGGATGCATGGATGGATGGATGGATGGATTGATCAATGGATGGATGCATGGATGGATGGATGGATTGATGGATGGATTGATGGATGGATAGATAGATAGATAGATAGATAGATAGATAGATAGATAGATAGATAGATAGATAGATAGATAGATAGATAGATAGATAGATAGATAGATAGATAGATAGATAGATAGATGGATGGATAAATGGATGGATGGATGGATGGATGGATGGATGGATGGATAGTGGGTTTAGGGGTGTCTATGTTTGGAACAGAGCTTTCCATCCCTGTGGGCAGAGCTGAGTTCATGGCGTCTCTCGTGTGTCTTCAGGGTTTCCTGGTGTTGATGCCAATGCCAACAGGTTGTCGTTCTCTGCTGCCCTCACTGTCCCCATGGACAATCCAGGAACCATTGTTTTTGACAAGATATTTGTCAACGAAGGAGGTTTCTATAACCCAACGACAGGTGAGCGGTAATGCAGCCTGTCCATGTCTGACTGTTTAGCAGCCATCCTGGTCAGGGTTCATCTTCTCACTGAACGATACTTCGGATCTATTTTCATTCATTATTCACATGTTTTTTAATCTATTCTTATCCATTAAAAGGCTCTAGGTATATATTTTGTGGCTGTGGATGGAAGTATGTGTCCACAGGATCATTTTAGAGACGGATAAAAAAAGAAATGCTAACTGAAAGCTAAACAAACTCTTAGTCTTTTTAAACCAAACCTTGATTGTGTGCTAATGTTTTGACCTGTTCATCTTTGGCTTTCAGGAGTCTTCACAGCTCCCGTGGACGGACACTATCTGTTCAGCGCCGTGCTGACGGGTTATAAGAACGAAAAGATCGAGGCCGTCCTGTCCATGTCCAACTACGGCGTGGCCCGGGCGGACTCGGGGGGGTATCAGCCCGAGGGCCTGGAGAACAACCCGGTGGCGGAGGCCAAAGTCACCCCGGGCTCTCTGGCCGTCTTCAGCGTCATCCTGCCCCTGCAGACCCGGGACACGGTCTGCGTGGACCTGGTGACCGGGAGGTTGCCCCACTCCTCCGAGCCGCTCACCGTCTTCAACGGCGTGCTCCTCTACCAAGACATGTGACCGTTGGCGTCACCAAGCGGCCTGCCCACCTTAGCGGGCTTTTAGATTCACCACGAACCCACGTGCGGAAACTTAGGAGCTCCGAACGATCACACAGGCCTCGCGTCAACATTTGTTGACGAGACGCTTTGCCAGTTGACTTTGGCTTTGGTGGCAAACATTTAACCCGAGTCAGCTTTATTATTTGGAATCCCTGTGAAAGAAAGGGAGGCGGTGTTGTTGCAGGACCAGTGTTTGTTGTGTTACTTTCATCTTAACCCAACACAGTAACAACTTTAAGCCTCTGTTTTTCCCTGCGATTTAATTTTATATGCGCAAGACCAAAGTCTGGGGAAGACATTGGCATACAAACAGCATTTTCTAATTACTTTAAGCCACGTAACTGACTCTTCCCCGTACCTCTGTACCACCTACTACTCCTTCTGCACCTCCTTCTCTCTCTCTTGCTGCCACCACTGACTCTGACGACGGATTTTCCTCTAGCGAACTTATTGTCATATTGATGATAACTGTAAAATTGTGTCTACTTTGTAAGTCGCTTTGGATAAAAGCGTCTGCTGAATGCATAAACACACATAAACACATAAACCTAAGGTCATATTCAGTAAGCAGTAATTAAATAAGTATCTAGAGTTGACGCGATATGATGAAAACTTGTTCTATGTTGTAAATAAGACAAAATTCCTAGGTCTTCATATCAACACATGCAGCATAAGCTCCTGCAGGGTCACTAAGACGTAAAGTAAGCTTTGTGTTTCAGCTAATACGAATCCGGTCTGGCTCATGGATGGGCGTGAGCCTCAAAATGATGGACATGAGAACATCACGGTGTCATAACCTCAGACCAGATCAGGTTATTTGAAGGCTAAAGCTGGAACACGTCTGTCGGTTTAAGCACAGCTTCTGACTATCAAAGTTATTCAAGTTCATTGTTATTTTTCTTTAGTTTTATCCTGAAACTGCTGATCTGAAAGTCTTCATCAACCCCGCTTTAGAAAACGCAGAAAATCACCAAATTTGAACACCGTGTCTACCGGCTTTTGGCCAAGGAACGTCAGACAGTTCAGATCTGGCCTCACTAACAGGCTGCTAAGCTTCAAAACCATAATCTTCCAAAAATTGACACGGATCAGGCAGCAACATGCACATAGGTGCGACTTTATGTCGCTGTTTTGCCAACAGGCTCGTTCCTCCTGCTTTTCTACTTATGGACTCGTGAGATGTTTCTTGGTGGTATCTGTTACCTGAATCCATCTCAGTATTTCATGGCTCCTGTTGTGGGTGGAGGGGAGGAGGGAAAAGTAGCAGAACAAGTGTTGACGCACGCCTTCGTCTTGCTACTGGAAACAAGGCCGACAACCACAGCTGGGTTTGCTTTGGCTGATTCGGTTTTCTGTGCCAACGTCTGCGTTTATTACCCGCCCGAGCCTCCTCTTAAACTGTTATACTGTCTGTGATCAAAGGCACACTGGAGCTCTCACTCTTCTGATGCGCTGACGGGGCCGGTTAGTAAATCTTTGAACAGGAACAGTCCGGTCGTAATATCACTTTTCCACAAACGTCAGGGGGCCGCCTTGACTATTCTCGACTGCCAGGGTCGCAGACGGAGAAGCGAGGCAGCCAATAGAGGCCGTCAAGCTCGCGATATGTCAAATGGCCCTCGGTGATTGGTTGATTCCAGCCCTTTTTGTCGTTGTGATACTTGCAAAAGTAATCATTCCTCCACTCCCAGGTCAGAAAAGTTCACATTAAAGAAACCGTGTCTTCATTTGGCTCACTAAAGATGATCCGAATGGAATTCTATCGTCGTGATTGGGGCTGCGTTAGAGTATTTCCTCTCATTCGGCCTCTTCAGGAGAAAATGTGTGGGTTGTGTGGATGATGGCGTTTCATCCCGTTAAACAGCTCCTCTAAAGGACGCAAGGGCCAATGTCTGTGATGTCACAAAAAAAATTGACGCCTCTGTCTCAGATTTATGTCTTCAAACTGTTTCTTAATGAATGAATTTGTTTGATCTTGGACTCGCTGTGATGGACAAACCAGTATCAGACTGCTGTTTAACTCCAGATGTGTCACTGTTGTCATAAAAAAAATAAAAATAAAACACCCAGAGGACCACATTTACTAATTACGGTGAATCGAATAAATTAGCTGTTGGCTGCTGTGGGGTTTTTTTAATGGAAACTTTGAGTTAAACAAAAGTTATCCTTAAACTGTTCTGATTTCTAAACACCTGCCACTAAATAGTTTTAAATCAAGACAAAGAGAGCCAATCAGAGGCAAGCAGACAGAAATGTTTCAGAACAGGATCGTGGAAATGGCTAAAGACAGCTCGACAGAATTCCAGTTTAGTGGAAATTGCACATCAAATAATGGTTTTAAACGAATTGAAACAAAGAATAAAATACGTAGTGTCTGGTGTTTTGGTGTTTTTTCTTTTTCATTCACCAGACTGATGAAAATTCATGATCAAGCTGGAGGATCTACTTCTGCAGCGGGTTCTGGACGGTGTTTGGAAGGGGCATTGAGGGTCAGCCGGGGAGGTTTGTTTATGGTGGAGGTGAAGGAGGACGACCAGAGAGGCCGTCACAAAGGCCGATGCCACGTAACGCGGCCAGAAAAAAGTCCTCTCTGAAGGGCCAAAAATGCGCTGGCCACTGACCAGAGCAACACAGACTCAGATAAACCACCCCTGTCCGCACTGGCCATGAGAGCAACAGAAAAAGGGGGAAAATGACAGGGGGGGTTAGTTTGAGTTTGAAGCAGGGCAGGGGAGATTGTTTTCAAACTTAAAAAAGAAAGACTTTTGTAGCCTCACCAATTGTAAAACCTCCGTATGGCCATTTTAACCAGGAGCTAATTAGCATTCAGCTTGAACTGGGGCAAAGAAACGTCTCAAAAGTGTTTGTTTGGGGTGTCATCTGTCAGTATGATTTTTATTTAAAGCTCATTTAAGTCTTTTTTTGTTAAAAATAGCTTTGTAAAATGTTTTGCTGCTCACAAAATGTCATTTTTGAAGTTTGCAGAAAAAGTAGACACAGGGTAATCATTCATTCTTATATAAAAGGGAATAATTCGACTCATCAAATGAGGATTTATGACATATAATGACAATATTTCATTAAAGAGCTTAAGAGGAAATTGGATAGTTGGTACTCGCTGACTTCAAATCCATTTTCCACATCATGACAGCTTATTGCTAAACCCCATTACCAGTATAGTTGGGAATTCCCTAAAATCCAATAACACTTAAATCAAATTAGTTAAATCATTTGAACCTTTCACAAACACAAGATCACTGAATTGACTTCCGGTTTCCTCAATGACTGACTTTGTGAAGGAAAAACAGGTATTAATGATGTTTGCTCTGAGGATAAAGGCTGTAATTGGCCCCATCCGTCCTCCAGAGCCCGTGTTTGCTCAAATAACACACCGGACAAATGGGACGTCCACGTCTGTCTCCATGAAAGTGTGTGTGGGGTTGCACTTTGTGGAGGTCCTTGACTTCTAAACGTTCTAAACTTCTAAACGTTTCTCTGGTGTCTTCACATTCGTAGAAGGCTTTAAACTCTGAGACTCCATCGCCAGTGCGTGGCCCTGTGCTGAACTGGCCAGCTGAAGAGGGACTTGTGTTCTTTGATAACAAACTATTTTGAATCTGTCATCCGGCCAAAAGAAAGTTTTTGTTTTCGCACTGACAAAAATAGACTAAGAGCCTGACACTGATATGAACTGGGGGACGCCTTTGTGCTGGTAGAGCGAGGTCACCCTCTGGGGACTTTGTTTTAGCAGAGTGTGTTAGTCGAGTGGGTTCATGTCCGAGTGGGTGAAATTCTAAATCCAGTCAAAAGCCAGTTCAACTAATAGTTAACTTACCGTAGGATTATTGATAACTGCAGGGTAGTTCACAGCCCGAGTGGGTCAGATTCTTCAATGAGAATTCAGGGGTGACGTGGACATCCGTCTTCGGTCTCCAGACTCCTCTGCCTCTGTTTCAAAAGTTTTATTTATTAAACGGTCCATGTTCAAAAGCTAAATTGGGAAAAAGTTAATCCGTTAACGCAGATAGTGGTATCAGCCTGGTAGCTGAGGTTGAAGCAGTCAAAGCAGAATATCAGGAAGCAGATGAGCACGCAGAGGATTAGAGGCTATCCACTAGATGTGTAATTAATGGCAATTCAAAAACATTGTACAGCTCACGTGGTTTACGAAATGTGACTTATTAAATGGAGTGTACTGTAAATGAGTCTTAAACTAAAGCCTCTCTAAGTCAACACATGATTACATAGCGTGACATGGAATTATCTAAAAACTTTTGTCTAGTGTTAAATACATGAGCTAGTTGGATTGGGTTTTTCTATGTAAATGTGGCTAGATGTTTTTGTGGTAGTGCTGTTCTTCTGTGTTTACATTTGACTCCACTGTTAAACCTGGAAGACCGACAGAAGACCTTTGGTATTTAATCAGGTTCCTGTTTTTTTGCCCCGATGGACGGACATCCGACGAATCAGCTTTGATAACCGAGGACATGTCCGATGTGCGCAATGCCGTGGCGCTGGACTGGGATGGGCTACGACTACTGGACGGATGTCACCACAGACTCCATCAACAGAGCGCTGTGGAATGTCACCAAGCAGGAGGCCAGTGACGCTCACAGTCTGCCTAACGTCCCATCAGCCTTTTCTCCATCCATCTATTATCGTTAGCCATTATTTCCTAATATCCTAATGGGGTCGCGGGGAGAACTGGAGCTTATCCCAGTGGTCAACAGGCGAGAGGCAGGGTACACCCTGGACTGTCCCCAGTCCATTGCAGGGCCACATACAAGGACAAACAACCACACACACTCACACTCACTCCTAAGGGCAATTTGGAATGGCCAATCAACCTAACATGCAGGTTTTTGGACAGTGGGAGGAAGCCGGAGAACCCGGAGAGAACCCACAGACATAGGGAGAACATGCAAACTCCGCACAGAAAGGTCCTGGGTCACCTGGGACTCGAACCCAAAACCTTCTTGCTGTGAGGCGATGGTGCTAACGACCCTCAGCCTCCTTTCAAAGGAGGCAGGGAAACAGTCGCTCTCAAGTTTAGGAAATATTGCCATCTGCTGGAGCTAATTTCACAATGCAGCCTCAACTTCCTGCTCTGAGGAAGGTGATGTTGCTGAGGCTTGATAGGGTTTAGGAGTTGTGCCCACCAGAGACTGGGGGCATTCAGACCTTTGTACCCCATGTTTATTCATATCTATTTCTTTAGGTGGTGGTGGACAACAGTTTGGAGAGCCCTGCAGGTTTATAAATTGACTGGGTGACCAACAAACTGGATTGGACTGATGCAGGTAAACAGCTTCTGTTTAGGCTAAAATGATTTTTGTTTTTTTCTGCATTTACAGCAAGGCAAATTGTGCTCTGAGATCATAGCCAGCCATGCTTTTCATGTCAGGTACGGATCGTATCGAGGTTTCCAGTGCTGACGGCCGCATGCGGACTGACCTGATATGGAAGAAGCTGGACTGGCCCAGGGACACGGTCGTTGACCCGATCGGAGGGTAGGATGGTTGTAAAGTGTTCATAAATAGACATTTCCAGATGGACACCATGTTGCCCGTTCTTTTCTTTCCATGTGCTTGTAGCTTCATGTACTGAACCGATTGGGGAGCCAACCCAAAGATTGAACGTGCCGGAATGGACACCTCCAGTCGCGTCATCATCATTTCATCCAATCTGACCTGGTGGCCTAATGGCCTTGCCATTGACTACGAGACCAAACATCTGTACTGGGCATACACTGTAATGAAAACGATAGAATTTGGGAACTTGATTTGGGTTTGACTGATAGCTCTGACCGACAGGTAAAAGGCATTCTTTAACGCATATATCAAGTTTTCATCTGTAGTAAAGATTGGATTGAAAAGAATGGAATTTTCCAAACTTTTTGGATGGTTTTGCTCTCAGGTTTTGCTCAGCAGCCAGCTGCCTCAGCCTTTTGGCCTGACCGTACATGAGGACAAGCTGTACTGGACAGACTGGCAATCTAAGAGCGTCCAGAGTGCTGACAAGCTGACTGGATTGGGACGAGAGACGCTGGCAGAAAACTTGGAGAACCTGATGGATATTCATACAGTATGTTCCACAGACACCGTGAGACAGGTCTGTATACAGTAGATTAAATTAGATTCATCTTTAGCATCCAAACCTGTACTAATACAAATCAGCTAAATGCAGTTCAGCATCTCATCAGAAGTCCAAAAAGCAGTATGCTTTTGACAGTAGGTTAAACTTTTAAAGTGGAATTTATGCTGAAAGGAAATTGTACTGAAGTGGAAATTTCTCTATTAAAAAAATCTTAGTTTTGCTGAGCAGCCCCTCCCCGACGGGGAGACATGTACTTGTGTCTAGTTTGTAAGTCGGTTTGGATAAAAGCGTCTGCTAAATGCATAAACATAAACGGGGCTCGCTTGTGTTCTCAGAGCCATCCCACGACTTTGTGGGTTGGCTTTGCCCCAGTTGCTCCCATTCTCTCTCCTCTCAACTTACATTAAAAGTAGGTTGATGGGTGATCCGAGGGTGTTTCTGGATTTATTTATAGTGCAGAACCCGTTTGTAGTGAATAATGGAGGCTGTGGCCACCTCTGTCTCCTGGCGCCTGCCCCCAAAGCCTCCAGCTGTGCCTGTCCCACTGGGATCAACTTGCAGACTGATGGAAAGACCTACAACCCTGGTATGGAAGCATGGAGATGCATTTCCTAAGACTGTTTGGAATCGTGTTTCAAATGGCCCTCTGCTATCCAGGTATATGAAAGTATTCCGGCCTCCTTTTTGCTGTGATGTGCGTTGATGCGTGTGCAAGCATGAGCAGCTTCCTTATCTTCACTCGGAGAATGGACATCAGGATGGTTTCGTTGGATATTCCCTACTTTGCTGACGTGGTCCTGGCTGGGAATAGCTCCATGAAAAACACCATCGCCATCGGGGCTGACCCCAAAGAGGGTTTGTTTGTCTTTTCTTGTTTATAGAAACTTCTTTTGAGGTATGAACCAACGCAGAAATTGACTTTTAGCTTTCATTTGGATCCGGCACAGGGAAAGTGTATTGGTCTGACAGTACATTGAAGAAAGTCAGCAGGAGCCAACATTGATGGAAGAGCTCATGGAGAGATCATATCCACAGGTGGGAGGACAGAAATAATTACAGCCTTTTCTGTGATTCCACCGGACACGAGGCATGACTCCAGCTCCGTTATTTTTCCAACAGGGCTGATGACAACTGATTGGCTCGCAGTGGATGCTGTTGGCAGGAAGATCTACTGGACAGACACAGGAACCAACCGCATTGAAGTGGCCAACCTGGATGGCTCCATGAGGAAAAGTTCTCGTCCGGCAAAACCTGGACTACCTGCAGATATGGATCAAATCCTCGTGGACAATTTGGTAAAAGCGCTACTTATTTTAGCGGAACTTCAGCATTGATTTGAATTTGGAAAAACCCAAATCTCCAAAATGACTTTTGAGGTGAGCCTTGAAGATAGTGTGTCAGAAAATGGTTCATGTAAGAGGAGATTTAGATAGAATTGACTTTAAGTGGACGTCGTATTAGAAAATAAAGTTATAAATATAACAATAATTTTTTTAAAAATTATATAAAAGATAAATTTAAAGATTCACCAACAACTAAAACCACCCATGTTCCACCTTTGCTTCAAGAGTGATGGACTTTTGAACTTTTCTATGTTTTTTGGTATAAATCGAGTGGCACCAGAAACGCAACCTCCTCGTTAGAATCTTGAAGTCTTATTTCGGAGGAAAAACTTTCCTGCTGTCTCACATTCTTCCCCCCTCCTCAGTTTCAGGTTACGTCCCCACCGCTCCTCCCAAAGAGACCAGCAGCACCCCGGCTCACAACAAGGTCCCCAAAGTCCCAACAAACGGTCCAGGCAGGGGACACGCAGTGGTCAAGTAAGCCTGTTTGTTCATTCTAAGAGCCTAACTACCAGTTTCAGATGTTATCCACTAAGATGAGTTCAATCCCAATTATTTTGGACTGTTCCAGATGACAGATGCAAGATCAGTACCTGTTTTTTCTTAAGATACTTAGAGGTGTTAAGCCCTTGATTAAAGGCTTTAAAAAGAGTTTCAAACGGCTGTTTGCATGTATTCTTACAGACATTCCTGGGAGAATTCTCTTATTGTTTTTAATTAATGAGATACACTGACTCAGCAGTAGCCTGCTTTCTATATATGTTCTAATGCCGGCCATATGATTCTGCAACTGCAAAGGCAAGAACCTGAACACAGAAGGCTGCTTGAACACAGTGGTGACAGCTCCTCACGGTCAGTCCACAAACAGCCTCTCACCCCATCCTTTTGGATGGGAGGGAGATCTCAACCATTTTAAGAAAAGAGAGTGCACTGTCCTGTGTAGAGACACTGCTCACAGGTGTCTAACCCGGGATGTGTCCCGAATGTGTTTATTTAAACATGGTTTGAGGGCGAACTAGGCTCTACAAGAACTGTCAAGTAGACAGCTGGGGCAGCTAGGGTGACCATATTTTGATTTCCAAAAAGGAGTACACTTTGCTCAGCCTCGAGACGGATTTCCGACCGGCTTCTCAGATGTTAATGAATATGCTTTATTATACCTCAATGGTACAAAATAACTTTGATAGTAAAACCCAATTTGTAACAACCAGTAACAAAATGATAGCCCTCCTTTAAGATACAGAAATAAGATAAAATATGACCTCTTCTGTATTAGAAAATACAGCTTGAACAAAATTCATCTTAGTGTAATAAATGAAACAGTCTTTCAACAATACAAACTCAAAAAACAAAAAAGATCTATACTAAGTATAGATCCTTTTTGTCCCACTTGGGATGGTACGTGGGAATATTTTTTTGCAGTTCGTTTGTGAAGCTGCACTTTGGTTTCGGCATTTTGTCTCCAATTCTGGTTGCTCTGCCCCCTGGCTGTGGGGGGGTGTCTCGCTAGATCTTCCCATAAGGCAGCCCCTTGAGAATTACGTTAGGGAACGAAGTCCCGTAGTATTATGTGCAAAGCACCGGTCGATTGAACCATACGATTATGCTCCCATGAAAAACAGTGAAAACCGGACATTTTCATGAATTTATAATCCTCCTCTGGACGCCCTGGACAGGATGTAAAAAGTGGACACGTCAGGGCAAAAAAGGACGTTTGGTAACCCTAGGAAGAGGAGTCTTCCACCGGAAGGTTGGTGGTTCCAATCTGCTGGTCAAAGAGCCCTTAGGCAAGACACTGAGCCCCATGTTGTCCAACGGTGTATCCAGGTGTTTGTGGATGGCCTGGAGTGTAAAAGTGCGTTGAGCGATGGCTTAAACGGGTAAAGTGATGTTTCCCACACCTGGGAGATTGTTTTCAAACCAAACAGCATCTGCTTGTAGAGTTTTGTTTTCAGTCTTGTCAGTATTCTCAGATCTATGTGGAAAAAAAAGTGCCTGCTGCAAACCGTTTTTGGTACACAGATGGCGACCGAAGGGTATAAATTTAATAGCTGCTCGTGCATTCGTTCACTCATGTGACAGATGCGCGTTTATGATAAATGTGAAGACCAGCGGCATAAGCCGTAACCATCCCCCGTGAAACCGTCAGCCGTATAAAACAGAAATAAACTCAAATCATAAATGATATTCCTCTCAGAATTTAATCTGCACCACCTGATCTGCAAACATCCCAATCCTGAGGCTCGGAGATGAGACCAGGCTAACTCTTCTGTTAAGATGGGAAGCTGCTGACAGGCATGACAGTGCGGGAGGTGATAGGTTCTTAAGTTCTTAAGACGCCATCATAGACAGCCTCACCTCAATCCCACAAGCTGAGGTATGAGATGGCAAAAGTTATATAATTCAACATAATTTTAGTTTTTATGAACATAGTTGGAATAATATTTTTCAAATAACTCCAGATGTTCTTATCTGTCAGTGCAGTGATGCCACTAACCCCCCGACTGTTTGGTCTTTGTTATGGTCATTTTCACCTTCAGAAATAATTACAATTCATTAGCATTAATGCCGTGCTCTGCACTGACCCTTTAGGGTTGATTGAAGTCTGCAGAGGGCAGAATATCATACAAAATCCCCTGGAAACATTTCCAGGTGGACTGTAATTTATCAGTCTAAAGCGTGACTGTGCCCAGTTTTCTGCATCTGGTTGTGTTTATTTAATGGACTCTCAGACTCAGATCAAAAGCTCCAAAGGCAAATATACTGCAAAAGCTTTTTTTTTTAATCCAACAATAACTCTTGATCTATGCACTGTATCATATTGTGATAACACATTAAGATCATGTCCAATAAGCTGAACAAAAAAAAAGGGGGAAAAATGAACTAATCAGTTTTAAACATCACATCTGTCGTGTTCTGTTGACTAACTCCACAAGAAATATTGCTAGCAAGTTTCCAGTGCAGTAACTGCATATCAGAGTGGTAGATGATGGATAACTGTTCCAGGACTTCCTGTTTCTTTGCCCTGACACACAAACAGAACAGTCACAAAGAAGCTGACAGGCTGGGAATGCGCCCCCCAGTGCTGACTTTTGGTTTACCGAGGAGACTTTTCCTGTTGTCTCACAACATATTTTTTCTTTGTACGCATCCATCTTTGATCTTCCATCTTGATCTCGGTTGCAGGAAGAGGACTTGGTATCATCTATGTGATTGGCGGAGTTCTGACCATCCTGGCGATTCTGAGTCTCATTGCGGCACTTTCTTACTCTCCTTGATCTTACTCTGTTTGATCAAGCGTTGGCTACAAAATACTAATTTTCTTTTTTTGTTTGTTTATCCCGTTCAGCATCAAGCACAAAAAGTCAAAGTTCGCTGATCCGGGATTGAGCAATCTGACCCACAGTAACACCTCGTACCGCACATCGAAACGTCACAGAAGCCTCCGATATACAACCATCCATCCAACAATCCATCCATCCATCCATTTTCGAGACTACTTATTCCCTAATGGGGTCGCAGGGAGAACTGGAGCCTATCCCAGTGGTCAATGGGCAAGAGGCAGGGTACACCCTGGACAGTCCACCAGTCCAGGGTCCAGGGGACACACAAGACATAAAAGGACAAACAACCACATACAATCACATTCACTCCTAAGGGCAATTTGGGCAACATGCAGGTTTTTGGACTTTCGGGGGAGGCCGGAGAACCCTGAGAGAACCCACGCAGACACAGCGAGAACATGCAAACTCCACCCGGAAAGGTCCTGGTTCCACTGGGACTTGAACCCAAGACCTTCTTGCTGTGAGGCGACAGTGCTAACCAGATATACAAACAGTTTCGATAGAAGAAAGAGGCAACACCCTGACAAGGCGCCGGGGAAGCTGCAGATGCTTTTGTTTGGTTGATGAATGGATTTAAGGTGAATCCAGGAGTGAATCCAAGGCGTCTAGTGACCACACGGACTAACGGCCGTACCCATTTTGGCCTGGCGGGAAATATATAACATGATACCACAACGCCGGCTCATCTTCTACCCCTCCTTTTACTCTTCCTCGCCACAGCTCTCCCATCCCTACAACTCCCTCTCTCCCTTTATCCTTTGATCCACTCGTCCAGAGGAGAGGTAGTGGCACAGCATGTCGGAATTGTCTGCTTTTGATTTTCTTTTACTCCAGTCTCCCGTCATTACTTCTGTCTCTTCCAGCATGAAAGCTAATATCCGAACCTGACTAAACTCCTGTGATCAGCAGCACGTCGGGCTTTGTGCTACTCATCTTTTAGTGAGAACCTGACATTTAAATGAGCGATAGATTAAGGTACACTCAGGTAAAGGCGCCCCGTGTACATTCAACTTCATAGAAATATTCTCCGAATGATCATAAAATCTTGAAATAAGCTGGTCCCAAAACACCATCAGACAGCTGGCAGACTCTGTCGGAGCTCTTATATAACCGTGCTTATTAGTCTCCCTGCTGCACAGGGCCGAATCAATAAAACATGACTTTGTTCATACTGTAAAAAAAGGACCGTAATGAAGCCTGTCCTTCCTGTATAAGCGAATTTATTATGTACACAGACACATGAGGTTTGATACGGTTCGTAAAAGATATATTTTCAAATAGAGCAATTTATTCAGTTAGACTTTAATGTGTGAGAAAGGGCTCCACTTCCCATTGCGAAACAGTCACAGCTGAATATTATTAAAGCGTAATATTTGTGTGAATACACTCCAGTTCTTTCATTTGAAGACGTTTCAAAGCTTTGATCTGCAGACGAATGAAAATCCTCAGTTTGAGCCATTGTCTAAGGAAGAGTAGCAGCTTTTAACGCCATGTGGCAGTCAGACTCTCAGTCTGACGGGCAGAAGAACTGACTGATGAGGCCCAAGCTTTTTTTGCCATTTAAAGTTTTGCTATTTTTTATGTTGTTCATGAATTGCTCTGACATCATGCAAGTCTGGTAAAGACGAGGGCCTTTGCCTCGGCACAGTGGTTTTCTGGAAGTATGTCACTAACAACAAAACACTCTAAGAAAACAATTATGAAGTTTCAAGTAACCTATGTCCGATTTTGTTTTATAACTGTAAACTTTGACTAACCTTTTCTGTGTTCCTGTCCAGGCTGGAGTAGATGGAGATAACACCAAAGAGAAGATCTGGATTGCGAAGGGGGTGTGTCTCCTGTCCAACGACGAGCTTTTACTGGGACAACCTAAAACAAATGTGGCCTGCACACCTGCCTTTCTTTAATTGGTTAAAGACTAACTATGCTAGCACTAATTATGTGAATGTTAAACTCTCCTCCTTTAACAATAATGATCAACTTTTGCTTTCCCCTAACTTGCCATTGGAAATGAAAATACTAAAATTTGCAGGAAATTACTGAACAAGCTGTAGTCACTCATCATTTTTATTAGTGAAGTCATACCATTGGGTTAGTCTAGTTTGGAACGTGATCAAAATTTTGGGTTGGCACTCAG